CCTCCCCCGGCCCAGCCAGGCCGGCTCAGCACTTAGCTGATTGCGCGCGGTCAGCTCAACAGGCCTGCTTGTCTGTTGGATCAGACAGCCTCCTCTCTTCGTTATGGCTGTTTATCTTTTCCCTGTATTTTTTCCCCTTGAGAATTCCCGTGATTATGTTGTTTACCAGTTTTTTTTGTGTTTTTTTTGCAGTGTCCGCAAAATAACGAAAAATTGTTTTTCAGCCCTCGTCCCCCTACCCCGTACCCTTGATCCTTGAACCAAAAAAAACCCCAAATGTATGTATGTCGCACACTGAAAGGTGAGTGTGAATTTCCACTCGCACACTCGTGTGAATTTTCCCGTTTCGTTCGCTTGTGTCCTTAAGTACGAATGGAAATTCACACACATACGAGTGTTGCGACACACACCTGGCTTTCCAGTGTGCCCTTGTTCGGTTGGCCTGGCGTGGAGCCCCGTGTTCTGTTCGCTCCGCAGCGAAGTGATTCTGTTACCGTCTCCCCCTCCCCCTTCCTCCCCGCACTCTAACTCTTCTGTTCGCTCCCGCAGGCAACCCTCGCAACAAAGTGGCGCTGGCCCCCGGCCACTCGCTCATGGACTGGATCCGCCTGGGCAACTCGGGCGAAGACCTGACCGGGGTGGGCGGCCGCCTGCAGGACGTGACCCCCGAGCAGCTCGCGCGCCACTGCCGGCGGGACGACGCTTGGCTGGCCATTCGAGGTAAGAGCATTATCAATGCACGGGCCTCTACCTTTAGGAGTAGTACACTGTGACATAGCTAGGAGCGAGATTGTCTGTTCTATCGCACGGTAAAAGAAGTCTCTTGTATTTCAAGACCTGCTCTTGGACGCCATTGGCGGCCTCCATAAGATCCAAGACCGGATCTTGAAATACAAAGAAATTCTTTTCACCGTGTGGCGCTACTGCTGTTGCATTCTAACACCATATAAAACCACGTACCACGCACTTCCTTTATGTTTTTTTTTAAATATTTATTCACCCCCATTCGGATGAAAAAGCTCTTGTGGCTGAGTTTTATTCCCATTTTCCCCCTTTTCTCCTTTTGTGTGTGTAGGGGGGAGGGGGTATAGATGGAGAGAGCATGCACGTATTGTTTCCCTTTTGTTGTTTCCACTTTGCGCGCGTGATACGTTCACGTTCAGATGTCGGCCATAAACACGAGCACTTTGCGTCCCTGTTCTGGACTGGCACTGCCGGTCGTCATAAAATGGGGAACAAAAAGGGAGGGGGGAGGGGGCCGTGTGGTGCTTGCACTGCTGTCTCTGGAGCACCCTGGAGTCAGGAGTCAGAGACCGACAAAAGACTTCCATCTATGTCCGGATCGTCCCGGTCTCTGTCCCGGTACGACTAAAGGCAGCCGAAAACGGCTCCACGGCTCCGCTTGTTTGCTATGGTGGGATGGGAGGAACCGGGCCCGCCGGGCTCTGACAACCGAAGAGTCCGGTAGAGAGAGGGAGCGAGAGAGAAATACCGTTATACTACTAGCTAGCCAAGCCAAGAACCTACTCTACAAGAACCGGACGGGGCGGGACGGGGCGGGACGGCGGCGCGGGTGGCAAGCGTTTTGCCGGTCTCTCTGCCCTAGAGGGGAAGGGAGGAGAGCTCTGGGGTGGAGGTTTGTTACGGCCTGTTGTGTTCCGAGGCATTTTGCTGCAGAGAGTTTTCTCTCAGAGGAAAGAGAGAAAGGGAGGGGGGGGGGCGCCCTAAGGGCATCGGTGCTTGGAGCTGTGCCTGTGCATGCTGGAATATACGATCGCAAAAGTTTGCCCTTCCAATTTCGAGGGTTGCTCCTCTCTGGTGCCCCTCTTGCCCAGCGCAGCACTCCCTCATGGTTCAATCGATGGCTACGTGAGGGCCCTGCGCCCTGCCAGAGGTGTTCCGTCCGTGCCGGGCTGACAGTGACAGGACCACTCCCCTTAACGCGTGGCGGTCGACGCGTCGGCAGAGCGCGCCGGGCGCGGCAGAGGAGGTCGTCTGCTTATTCTGCGTTTTTTTTTCGCAAAAAAGCATGCCGTTTTCGAATGCAGTCACTCACTTTCTCACGACGTCTCTCCCCCTCCTCCCTCCCTCCACACGCACACGCACTCCTTCTTCAGCGTTCCCTGCCTCCCATATTTCGCACGGTTTCTCGATCCCTCCCCCCAACTGCGACGAGGAGCGAGGGTTAGACGTTTTCGTAGCGAGTAACGCTGGCGAAGATGCTTCCGCGTGGTTGCACTTCCTGCTCCTGTGCGGCCTGACCTCCGACCCTGCCCCGCCCCCGCCCCGTCAGCGCAGCGCGCAGGGCCCTAGTGGCGCCCGCCTGGCGCTGCGGAGCGGGGAG